AACAATTAAATCTGTGTGTTTGTACAATTTTAAGTATAACGGAGGACATTTCTGAAACTTATATATACAACAAACCTTCCTGTTATTTTAGCAACATTTAAACATCCTTATACTTAATGTAGTAACTCGAGTACACCCCATCAAGCTAAAACATGTTTCATAAGTTTTCAGGATGTTAGTTTATTGAAATATATGTGTGTTATTTAGAAAAATGCCACCTTCTAATGTATCTTAAATAACTTTGAAATCACCACTAGAATACAGTGAAAAAAAAACTGATCATACAGTTTCAAAATATACAAGCGAGACTGATCGTACAGTGAGAAATTCAAACAAGTGTAATTTTCTTATTTCTGGCTTTAAAGATCTGGTTGAAACTTTTACCACCACTTGAAATATACTTCATTTAGTTAATTACGTCTGGTTTTTACGTTAATTTGTACACTAAGAGGGTAAAAAGATTGTTTTAGGTTCACCGACTGATTTTCTTAGTGTTGCACTTGAAAATCTCTTGATTAAGGCAAAGATACGAATAATGAATGCGCTGAATTTAATTCTAAACCATTTGAGAATATCGATGTCAGCTGAATTAATCATTAAGCAATGTACAGATGATCAACTTACCATTTAATTCAGTATATCCATCAAATTTAAAATGTGATCCAAAAAGTTCTCGCTTCGAAAATCGCCACTTCCGGAAAGCGTACAGTATAGTATCTACACTGTGTTATTTTAGAATTGTTTAGGTTTTTCTTATACTTCGTTCCAATCGAAAATTAAATATTGTATAATTATAAATCATTTTTGGTATGTTTGAAAATTGAATGAAAGTTATTTCTTAAATGTTATTTATGAATTCCCATTTCACAAGAGTCATCAAATAAAGTCTAACACATTATATATTGATTATGTAACTTTCATGTGTCTTGAAATGTAAATTTAGTTGTGCTGGAGTAAACTAAACAATTGAGAAATAGAAATCTCCTGCTGAAAAGGACAGATACAGATGTCTAGGTTAAATGCATGCATATAGGCTAAATAGTCATCGATTTATACAAGGATTTAAATCTGATCAAAGTATTATCTGTTTGCTTAAATGCTTAAAACATTATAGAAACTCAGATGAATCATTTGTTTTTGGCCAAGAGGCAAATAAACCAGTATTTGTTAATTAAGTAATACAAGAAATCTCATGTAAGAAATATTTGACAATAGTAAATATATTATAAAAGAGAGGCGAACGATACCAAAGGGATATTCAAAGTTATGATTCGAAAACGAACTGACAATGCCATGGCAAAAAGCGAAAAAAGACTAAATAACACACATCATTATACAAAACACAACATGGAAAACGTAAGAACGAGCCACACAAACCCCACCAAAACAAGAGGCGATATCAGGTGCTCCGAAAGGGTAAGCAGATTCTGTACCATATGTGGCACCCGTCGTGTTGCGTATGTAAATACATACCTGTTCATTCGTCTAATTCGGTAAATCACATTTGAGGAATAGTGGACTGGATTGTGATTACGACGATTGGAACATAGTCGTCGTCACCTATGAAACAGATATGCAATAAAGGTCAACCAACTTGTGATTGCGTCCGTAAAATTTTCGAAGGGATGATTTCAACTTCACCACATAAAAATCTAAGTTCAAATGCTTTCTTGTAAGCCTCTATTAAGGAAATCATAATATGAAATCCAAGCTCTAGACTATCTTATCAAACGGGAGTTAAATAGTCCATTTGCAGGCGCTGCTTGAATGTTGCTACATAGAAGTGAGTATTTCACACTTGGGAAGCTGAAATCATCTCTTTTGTCGTTAACTTTTGTTCTGAACCGATCTTTATTGTCAATTTCTGAATGTGAGTCAAGATATGAGGCAGACTTAACTGTATCTGTTGTATCCTTTATAGAAAGTTCGAATGAATCACTTAAAGTTATTTGAAGTTATTTGAAGATTGTCTATCAGTTTAGTAGCAGCGGTTTGCAATTATGTTTAATTTTTTGAGATGATTATATGTATATTAACTTAAAATAATATGTACTTTTCCTCTTTTGATTGTGTATATACTTTGTATGCCTGGATTGGTAGTGCATGACAATGTTTATTGAAGTAATATTAGTTTGAAGAATGTTTCTTGTAATAAATATATCAAAAGCTGATACACCTGTTGGCACACATTTCCTATGCACGTGTTGTTTTGTTGATTAAATAATTCATATTCTTTTGAGCTTGGCGAATTAGAATATAACAAGGTTTAAATATAGCCTGACGTGGTATAGATACAAAAAACTCATTAATGTTTAAATATGTTGGATAGACACACTGATGTGGTATAGACACAATGAAAAAAAACAAGGTCAATCTATAAAATGATGTTGTATAGACCCAAATGAATAAAACAAAATCCAGCTTTAGATTGACATGGTATAGACACAATGAATAAAACAAGGTCCAGCTATAGAGTGACGTTGTATAGACACAATGAATAAAACAAGATCTAGCTATAGAGTGACGTGGTATAGACAAAATAAATAAAACAAGGTCAAGCTATAGGGTAACGTGGTATAGACTAAATTGAATAAAACAATGTCCAGCTATAGAGTGACCTGGTATAGAAACAATGAATAAAACTATGTCCAGCTATAGAATGACGTGGTATATTTCGTGCCTATACAACTATAAAAAAGAGAAAGAAAATATCAAGTTGTCATTCGAAAATCCTTAATTATATATAAACAGACAACATCAACTGCACCAAAAACTGGATGTAAATTCAGATACTCCGTAAGATTTGGCAGTCCCTGCTCCACTAGTGGCAAACGGCGTCTCCTCTTTGTAAATAAAATTACGATGATAATTATCAGTCGCATTTGGTCAGCAACAATTTAGTAAAGGAGGACGTGAGTGTGGCTACGGCATATGGGACATATTCGTAGTACAGGGCATGTGCTGGCACAAGTTCATCTAGTAGACCTCAATTCAAACAGGTTCAGATAATAAATCGAGGAGCGTTGGTGCCTGGTGGCGCATACAAATAATTTTGATGAATTTATAAATTTGTTATCAACTTCAAAACAAATCGTAAGTATTTTTTTCAAACATCGCGGGAATATTTTGCTAAAAGATGTCACTTTATTGGATATATGTTTTTGGTTACACCTCCGCTATTTCATAAAGAACCGTAAACCTTTTACTGAGACAAATAATATTATTCAATATCATTCAACAATCTAATAAAATTATCAATTTATTAAAATAAAGCATATGATAAATAAAACAAAAAATATATGGTCAACGGATCAGAACTAGACGAAAAGTTGAATTATGCACTCAACTAATCGGAACCATTCAAATGAGTACCCTCAAAAATATCGGATATGTAACTGTACATTAATTTTGAGGGTATGAATAGAAGGCGACGTTGGTTATACGACAAAGTGACCGGAACCCAATGAAACCGACCGTGCGAGGGCTGTATAGCCAGTCAAGGTCGTTAAAAACTTCCATCATCATGAAACAATAATCAAAAAGACATCTAGAGCATTTAACAAAAATATATGCACTATGATGTGTTTGATGTCAAACTTGTCATATGTCATATTCTTATTGAAGCCAGTATGTTCAAATCTTTCAGGAAGAGGATAATTAATGTATTGGATATAGATAAAAAATTGTAAAATTTATATGTTTTTTAGAGAGTGCATTTGTTAAATCCATTTTTGTTGCACAGTATACAAAGTTGGTTAGTTTCTTTCGAGTGTATATGTTCGAGTTCCTGACGGAAGCATTTAGTATAAATTTAATGAAATCAACTATAGCACTATACGTCAAATATTCTTACACAATAGTATACATATGAATGATTGGACTCACAAGATTATGCATTTTAACACTCAACTATTCGGAACCATTTTACTCAATATCAAACATATGGCCTATTGGAATCATTTGGATTAACATTTTCTGAAAACTGTTGAAGCACTCTTAATGTAAAGATTGACAATATTTAAGAGGGAGAGGAGAATGTTGTAACAGTACTATTTTTATAGTCATCAAATAACTATATTAAAGTAAGTAAATGACGTAACACATGTAACCCCAAAATGATTAGACGATACCCTAGAACCAAACTACGCGGACCTGCTTGTTAACCAACTGGTTATTTGAGTACAGGAGTTGTTTAGGGTAACATTTTATTATTGTCATGAGTGACCAAACTCGATTTACTCGTCATCCATGAAAATAGTCCAAAACATTCCGCCTTCTTGTTTTATTATTATTTGTTTGATACCAATTGTCGTGGATTTCGTGGGGATAGGTAAACCAAGAATGTAAATATTCAAAGAAGTACTCATTTTCTGATTGATTATAAAAAACTAGACAATATAAAACATCTGTTTTTTCACTAATATTATCCGTCGCTTAATCGGTTTTTGTTGACAGTTTTGATAGCTGTGATTTACCATTTCATAGTTAAGAGAAGAAAAAATTACAATAAAAGAAAACACTCAGAGCGATCAAAGCGCTTTTCTTGATTTACCTTCATCAAGAACGCTAAAAGCCAAATATTTAAAGCCAAGGATACATAAGAATCGAAATAGTTAAAGTTATAAAACCAAAACGGACCTCAAAATTATGGCTAAATACATATAAGGTACTTGTACCAGGTTTGCGCCGGTCAACTCAAAACAAGTAATCAGTCAATATTTTGTTTACTAAGTTTACTTAATGAAATCTATTGTCACGTATGAGAAAAGTGCGTCGTTTCAACAATCTTCGGGTAACCGGTATTTTGCAGGAAAAGCTGCTGATCTAAATAACGTGTACTTGTACCTTCAATTTTGAAGACCATACAAACCTGAAATGGATTTCCGTCCTGAACTTGTATTGCAAATCCAAAAACAAAATAAAAACCCAATTTTTTTTCAATTATATACTTTGTAAAACGCAAATGCGAATGTTTAGTAGAATTTAAAATGAAAACAAAATTAATTGCTATATTTATTATTATTATAATATATAAAGCGTTAATTCATTTGTAGCCATTGTAGTTCATTCATTGCATACAATACATTATAATTGAGGTGAACAAACATTTTGTAAATAAATTTGATCTGTAGCATAATTACTGTCTAATTCTTAAATTGCTAACAAAAAAGTCATTATTATTTCATTATACACCTTTCGTCAAACCCTTGAAGAAAAACAACTATACTATTAATTCCAACGATCTGGAACAATACTTATTAAACAAAATGTCCCCACTTCTAGAGGAGTGTACGCCAAATGGTTACTTGAAGTTCAAAAAGCCATGGTAAAATTTAAGTAAAATGTAAGCTACATGCACATGTATATTATAATATTTCAAATTCATTTTGACTAAACAATTTTGAATAATAAAAAAATGAAAATAGAATAAAAATACACTTTTGCACTGACAGCATTTAATTCGTCTACCTTACATCTCAAAGAAGAAAAAAAAATGAAAAAAAATGAAATTCATTGGAAGAGTTGGTAACTTAATTGAGCTAATTTAAAGGTGAATGGAGTATACAATATGGTTAACTTAACTTATGTAATCGGCCAGTTTCTACTTCCGGTAAAAACAGACATTAAATTTGATACCTCGTGGAGGCCGAGTGCTACACTTTCTGTACGTTAAGGAACCCATACAATACGTTTTAAAGTGTACGTTTCATATGTGCGGACAACAATATCTGTCCCTATCCAACACTCTTTTTTTCTATAAACTGTTTAAATGGCATGCCCTACATTTTGGTCGACTCTCTTTTGATAGCCTACTTGTGGGAATTTTTGATACATGTATTGTCCTGAAAACTTCTAAAATCAACCAAATACGGCTCATTAAGAGAAATCAAAATACCTCAAACATTATTGCCTATATGATCTGGTTTTTTTAATTTATTATAAAAGTTATACATAAAACCCCAGCTGAGAATTTATCAATATGTATTTATTTAAACTTGGTTCATGTGATCTTGGCACTTATGCTTTGACCAGTCTTTTCATTTATAGATACATTGGCCCAAAGTTAAAGACGTGCAAATACTTTGAATAAAGTCGAAGAAGACATTGCAATTTAAAATGAAACTGGTTTGATTTTTATAATGTGACAACACACCTTTTGTCATAAGATAAAAACTAGTTTGAGTTTCATTTTATACTGGTTCTCTAATTCTTCGATTTTTCTTCTTTTTTTTTTTCTTTACAGCTAATTCTAAGTATGAAAATCACAAATCTGGACCCTTGAAAAATTATCTTTAGTGTGAATCACATTTTAAAAAATCATAATGACCATACCACAAGTATCTAAAATTATGTGCAATTTCTAATAATTTTATAAACAGTTGAATTAGACCTAACAATATTATAAAAAAAAGTAAGAAAAAAAAAAAAAAAACCGAACTCCAATGGAAATTCAAAACGGTAGTCCTTTATAAAATGGCAAAATCAAAAGCTCAAAAACATCAAACGAATGGAAAAGAACTGTCATATTCCTAACTTGGTACAGGCATTTCCTAATGTAGAAAATTGTGGTTTAAACCAGGTTTTAGAGCTAGCTAAATCTCTTACTTGTATGACAGAGGCATAGAATTCCATTATTTCAACAACAATGTGTAAGCAAAACAAACAGATATAATACTAGGTAAAAATGTCAAAAATTAGTTACAGCAGTCAACGTTGTAATATATAATCTTAATCACTATAAAAACAAATAACTATTACAAAAAAGAAAAACAAAATAGCAAATAGACACTCTGTAGATAACGTATTATGATATCAACACATAAAATGAAAATTCAATACTGTTGATAACATTTAAGATATAATAATGGCATTATAAAATATTTGGACGACATTTGTAAAAGATTTAGATACTAAATGATATATAGATATAATGTCTGTGAAGTTTAATCTAATGTTTATACTTCTATAACTATATTATCACTAATAGCTGGGGTACAATGGTTGCTAATATGAGATATCGAACGATGTATTACTAATTATGTCTACAGTAGTTTAAGACATCAGAAAATATGATTGATTTATATTTATATTGACTGCGAACTTGTACATCCCGCACAGCAAAACGGACGCCCCACTTTAACGAGGGTTTTACCGCCGGTCGGAGGAAGAAAAATGGTGACCATATTTCTATTCCCCAATCACCCTTGGGTGGGGGGGGGGGCATCAGAAAAAAAGAAGTTCATGTAAGGAAGGTATAACAATTCGATTAAGATAGCTGAACAGATACAAGGTTGAATTTACATGTTACTTAAATCATACAGGTGTGATTCTAATTTACTTTAAAGAGTAAATGTATGTCACTATAAACAACCAAATCCATTATGACCAAAAGTGAAAGCATGTATGTATGCAATGCAAATAAAATGAATTGTCGTTATACTTCATCAGATTATTCATACTGTAAGTAAGATATGTGTAATATCTTTATAAATTATATTTAGAGTTTCATACTGCCGTCATGGTGGTAAAAATGTGCGCTGTTAACTTAGGTGAATGATTGAGTATAGGAACCTTTTCAACGAGCTCCCATACCTTATCTTCCGTATTAACAACAATGTCGAGTCTCCTTTGTTTAAGATAACACTCTTTCGTCGGTTTTCTAACGGTACATATAGTTCTTAGAAATGTGAAAGGATTCAAAAAGAAAAGTTGGTTTACCTCCTGAGTCGATTAATTATTTATAACTTTGTACAGTTCCCTCCATAAAGAATGGTTTCGTATTTGAACTTAACTTTAACTATACATCAGGTTCATTTGAGTAAATAGCCAAATTCCAGTTGGGAATTTGCTGTAACATGTGTAAAAAAAGCCTCCTCTGCAAACACTGAAAACTTTTTCGATGTTTGTCTTGTTTCGAAAGGATGTTATTAAATATAAATTAACAAGAAAACGCTCTAATGAATTGAAAAAATACAAATTAATTGAAAAAAAAACATATCCTTGTAGTTATATATTTGACTCCGTATATAGCAGGTAAAGCAGGTTATAGGAACTTTGTGTAAAATAGGTTAAAATATTGTTACGGCGTAAATGATCTGTTGATTTTGTCACTGCAATTCAAAACTAAATTGTAACTAACATGTAATGAAGAAAACACACAAGCGACACGATTGATAAAGCGGTATAAACACAGGCTACTTCTAAGCTTATAGCTCAGAGTTTCAGTTTTTATGATTATTGAAATAATCCGTGAATTTTTAAGGTATATTTTTCTAAGCGTGAAGGTATATTTTTCTTAGTTTGAAGATAACCGATATAGAAAATGAACGTACATTCTGCATGACAACAAAATGATGACTGACAGACGGATATATTAACAAGACTTGGTAAAATAATTATTACTATAATTACTTGTTATATTATCTAAATAAATCATTCAAGAACTTTTTTTCCAAATAATCTAAAATGATGAATATTTTCATACACAATTTTCAATATATTATACATAAACAAAATAACTAACTAAGCATATAAATACTTGTAAGTTCCAAACCATATACTATCTCTATATGGTCCTTCATAAAAAGGAACCTTTTTAACTTGACTCGCACACTTCGCTGGAAATGCATATTACAATCACCACCTTTGTTCCAGTTACTAATTCATTTTTTTACAATACGCAAAAACATCTTCAGTTTAAATATGAACAAAAGTTTACTACATCTATTCGCTTATTAACTTTCTTTGATATAAAACAGTGATTTAAACAATTCTAAAAATGAAGTTTGTAACAAACAAAAACAAAAGATCAACACAATGTCACAGTGACCAACTTGAATACTGAGTGGCTTTCGGCAACATGTAGTAGATCTTTAGCTGCTCTGAAAAATAAACGTTTAAAATTACATATCTAATTGATGAGAGACATCGTTATTTTTGTATTCCTATTGAGAGATAAATAAATCGGTTAAAATCTAATATAATTGTTCCGCATTGTAGTACTTTTATATTTTGTAATATAATTTTGTGGAGAATATCATTGTATATTTATTTACTATATGAAATTAAGAAGATGCGGTATGATTGCCAATGAGACAACTCTCCATCAGGGACCAAATGACGTAGAAGTTAGCAACTTAATGTCACCGTACGGCCTTCAACAATGAGCAAAACCCATACCAGATAGCAACTTCTTAAACTCTATGTTGACTCGGAAAGTACATTCTGTTAACCAGTTGTTTATGGTGTAATGTTTTACTCAAACAATGAAAATTATTTAAATGTTACCATGTTACATTTATTTAAAAAAATTAGCCGGTTTCACACAACAAACAGATATCTGTTTATCAGCTTTACTTGAGTATGTTATAGATTAAATCTTCATTAGTATTTTCATGTCCGTTTTATACCTCCAACATACACATATTTGAAAAATATACTATAATCTAAAGATAATATGTTACATAAATTTGATTTCAATCCATTAAATGATTGAAAAGAAATTATGAATATAAAAAAAAAGTATATTATGGAGTATTTCATATTTTAATTCCTACTAAAAGGAACAATATGGTTACGGAAGTATACATTCCATATAGATGACTTCGGAAAAGTTCAGTTGACACATTACATATGAGGGAGTTACATCAGATATTTATAGCTCCTTTGAGTATTGTATTTAAACCATGTTTCAATAAAACATATTATAAATAATAATCATTGCAATGTTTCTTTAACTTACATTTTCCGATTCTCAACAAATGCATATTTCACTTTAGCAAGTATCATCTGAAAACAAAATGAAAGCTATAAAAATGTTGTTAATTACCAGGTTATATTTGACTTCAGCAATTAAGAATAAGAACGTTCACTAAGAAATGAAGCTAATCAAAATAATAGCGTTCATTTTAGAACATGTATGTCGGAAATATATTGTGTTATTTACTTGTTATGCTTGTTATGGCTAGTCTGTTGTGACTTTTAAGCACTATATATATAAACTAAATTCATGTGTTGGTTACTCAAAATGCACGATTACGATAGGTTTGCTTGTTGGGTTTGTTAAGTTACGTTTAAAATGTATTTTGTTGTTATGATCATTTGGTATAGATATAGCTTTTTACCAACGCTTAACATAATGTATAATGATTGTACTGATGGGACAAATATATAGTGAGCTTTGAAGATTGAAAAAATAAACTTGTAGAAATACAAATAAAAGATACGATTTCAGACCAAATTTCTAATAAGATCTTGTGCATACACATTGGTAGCGTTAATTTTATTATCTAACGAGCCTTTTAAATTTTTATATTTTACAAAATATCTTTGTGCTTTATCTGAACGTAGTTAATTTATTGAAAAAGCCAAGAAATTACAATAAATACAACATAATAACCGACCCAAGAAAAGATTATCAACATATACAGCTATTTCTATGAATCATTGTTATTGTGGAGAACGAAAAACAAATTAACGCAGATATTGTATGGAGCCATTTCAATGAGTTACTGGTCTAAAGGAAAAAAGATGAATGAAATTTTGGAAAATTTCTTTGATCTTGAATTTTTATGTAGAATCTATAGTAATTTCAACAGTTTGTAATTCATTCTATTTAATCATATCTCCTATGAATAGACAGCTATTCTAAAAATGCTAGAATGTTTATTTGTTTTCAAACTGCATTCCAAAACTGTGAGAACATTACTGTTGTTGTTAACTTATTTTATATCTTGCATGTACCTAAACTATGAAATAAAACGCAGCCATGATTTTACCAAGAAGATATTGCTAATGAGTAGTAATATTATTCTAGTTTCAATATCTTTTTGTGAATGTTGTGCTGTGTATAACAGAACACTAGTCAAACAGGCATGCTTTTATTGAATTATTGGAGCAAGTTTAGCATAAACCAATACACAATCAATACATTTAATGCAAGAAACTGTTTCACTTTAAATATGTCCATTCAACTGTTGAAACAGTTTTCTCAAAAATGGAAAAGGAATCCATTTATTTCCAATGTCTGGATCAGTAGGTGCAGAAGTTAAAGTTCTGAATTCGATTATCAGCGTCCCTTTGAAATGTCATTGTAATTGATACAAGAAAGTAATATGCATCACTATGCAAACTGAGGTTTGTCTTTGTTTGTTTTATCTATATGAAACTTAGTAATAAAATCTTAAATACCGTCTATTCTTAAACGTTGACTATCTTGTATGGTTGTTGGCTAAAGTGAAATTTCTATCTGAAAAATAATAAATTATAGTGTATTAATCAATTGTGTATTAACCGTTGTTGATTGTTATTGTTTATAAATTCAATAATATTTACGCTTTTGATATTTGTATAGATTTGAGAAAACGAACCAAGATGTCCAACACACCTCCACATTACCTCTCATCGTCTGATTTTTAGAGTATGCGGGGGAGAATGCGTATATTTTCGTCATTTGAATTTTGGTGGATAGTTGTGTCTTATTGGCAGTCGGACCACATTTATTTTATGTTAGGGAAGGAAAGAAGTTGCACTCAGGCCGATTAATGCATCATATACTCTTCAATGTAAACTTAAAATTTATGAACTGCTCTATTTGTCTACATGAATATAATATGAACAAATAGAAGTATTATTCTGACAATAACCTTTGATTATTTGGAATGCCAAATATTTGTTTTCATTTTTTATCATTATTTGTAATCTTAAAGATGGCTACCAATTAGAAATAAGGAATAGCTTCCAATATCGTGTTCATTTTGATTGTATTTCACGTATAGTTTCGTTCTTATAATGTGCTTTGTATTTTGAAATCTGATTCCACCTATACATATTGTTTTTGGTATTTTCTACCCGTTTGTCATTATATTTCCATCAAAATCTAATTAAGAACCGTAGATACCTTCGATATAGAATTAATCAAAATTGTATATAAATACAAAATCTGTGCTTACAAACTGTATTACTGAAAAATACTTCTTAAATTTTTGGACAGAACTATTGCATACAATTTTCAAGCTAATAATAAGTATTTACTCACCATCTGAACTGTCCGCTTACTTAGTCGCTGCTTATTAACTTTTAATTCAGCCTTTAATAAATAAAATCCATCCCCATGGTTTATGTCTTTATATGTGAACAACAATAAATAAGATGATAACACTAAAAACTTATCTTATAAAAATGTAGACATTATACAATTTTAAATAGAATAAAAACATTTATAATTTCATTTATTCATACATATAATACACATTGATAAATATGATATATTTTCCTTTTAATCATACATATTCTTAACCTACTGTTTATATGTTTATATATATATATTGTTAAAATATACTTTTTCACTTTTTTGGTCTTTTGGAAAATGTTGTTTGTGCTGTATTTAGACCCCTCTAACTAGAAATTTGTTTTGCATGCACACGTATACAAATTGCGGTTTTTATCCAACGCAATCATAGGTTTGAACGTTGTTTTCAATTTAGACTTGTTTAAATATATATATATATATATATATAATCATTGACAAAAGCAGTGGTTTGTGTTCAATTATATGTTTAAAGGGAAACAACAATCGAAATTTATATTTCCTGTTCCAGTATATATAAGAACTTTAGTATTTAGTTATAAAACTAAATACTGTAACTTCTCGATAAAAGTCAAAGACCTTTCTTACGAAGACAGCGGTTCATAATTGATTTATCTATTCGTCTATAAAAGGTATACACTAACACTATGATGGACAAATACAAATTTCGATTTATCTTTATCCTGTACAGTAGCTGTTCATTATATACATGTAGTACATTAACAAACTTAAGAAATATATTCAACACTAAAAATAAAATAATGCAATAGTAAAGATTTTTGCAGCTACTGAAAAGAACTCTCATCAAAGATATATATTATAAGGCTTACGATTTAGCACGCTAAACGCGTGTTTCATCTACACAAGATTGATCAGTGGGGCTTTAATCAAATCAGTGATAACTGTAAATATGAAATTTTATCTTTTAAAGAGACAGCTATTTCAGCACTTCAAATATCAATATAGTTGTATCTATCTCTAGTATTTTGGGCTTGACTAAATAATAACAACACTTAATAATATATAATATAATTGAAAAGGCTAGACAAAAATAAGTTCTGACAATGAATAATATGATAATAGCACACATTCATAGAAATTGTACACAAACACACACATATGAATATATATTTATAAATTTAAAAACAAGTGAAAAAAAATCCATAAAAAAAACATATAAGAGAAAAACAAAGTAAATGAACTTCATTGTATATCTGAAAAATCAATAGAACAACGATAAATAAAATTATCTGTTACAGAAGAGGTATTGATCATACAACTAATCAGATTTTTATTTTTTGTTTTAATCTTTTAAAACACATATTACATAATATACAAAGGCATATTTACAGCACAGAGAATACAATGTCAGATAATTAGAATTAAGTTCATATAACACATCTTATAATAACTATAACTCTGCTGCAAACTAGTTCATACGAGTTTTGATTTATTTTATTGTTAAATATCGAGAGAGAAAAGATTGGAATATATGAGAATTTTAAAAGAAAAACAGTAATATTTATGTGGAAAAAATCAAACTGACTGTTAATTTTGTATGGAAAAGGACTATTTAGTGATCGATGGTTTGTTCTAAATATCACCTCATTTATGCTACTTGATTACATGAAAAGAAGATTCAAATAAAAGTAAAAACAACTGATCATTATTGTCTTTGGAATATATCTTAAGCTGGAGTTACCAGTACTCAAATATGCAATAACTTGTTACTGTACAACTTATTTACTATATTATTTGCATTATTTTTTGATGCACTTTAATTAATAAGCATGTACAACAGAACAAAGCTAGGTAAATTAAAATTAGCAAATGATTATAAAGTATAAAAATAGTTTAAATAAACATATAAAACATCTTTTTAAATGTCAGGTTATAACAACATGAAAAATAACTACTCTATTAAAGCTATTTATTCACACAACACTTTCTTCGATTAACATATAGAGTCACCTTTTTATTTCTAAACACAAAAACAAATTTATATAAGATTGGCATTGGGAAACAATCTTGATATAATCCAAAAACTTAAGTATTTGCAATTATCAATTGATGAAGAAGGCATTTAATGCGACTACATGTATGTGTAACTCACTACATTATTTACAAAAAAGGCTATTTAGAATAACCAATATTAATTATAGTATCTTATTTATAGCAGGTAATATTATACCATATGAGCATCCTGCCTTACATATATAACAGATAAAACATTAAGACTACGATCAATGATAAAAAACCACTATAAACAGCCCATACGAGCATCCTGCCTTACATATAAAACAGATAAAACATTAAGACTACGATCAATGATAAAATGCCACTATAAACAGCGAGACAACTGACATTATGCATTCATATAAGTCAGAATACTACACACACATACATACAAACACATGGGAGTTAACTTAATTTCTAAAGCTTTAATGATAAGATAAATATACATATATGTGCAAACGGTGATTCAAACTAAATGATTATATATATCTAAAAAGAACTCTTTCCATTAATATTCTGTATATATAAAACAGTAAAATCCCTTGACTATATATATCTTAATTTCACACTTTTCAGAAAAAAAGAACCGGAAAAAAACCAATATATCTATTGACCAAAAAATGTTTATATCATATGTAAAAAGAAAATATAATACACAAGCAACTAAACATCCTATCACTTACAACAAATCTAAACAAGCTAAAACTGAAATTAAGTTTGAAGTATTCAATTGAATCCACCTAAACTTCAAAAAAATCTGCAAGACAACCTTCACAATCGGAAATTCTATTTTTCACAATAGATGTTAAAACTCTAGATGGAGACACCTCAATAAATTGTCTGACATTATTTTCATAAGCAGATACTACCGTTTTTCTCCACTGTACAGGTTCTACTAGTTGTTTTTTAAGTTGTTCTTTAATACTATTCGTATCTTCTGAAAAACTTCCAGTAACATTCATAAGAACAGGTGTGCAAGGTTTTCGAAATTCAACGGAATCTATTAATGGATCAACTACAACGGTCGCTTTCTTCATGTAAATCGAATGGAAAGCTCCTGCAACACGTAATTTCCGAACGTCAACAACATTCATAATTTCTTTATCTTTTGAGTTCAAATAATCAACGAAAGAGTCTATGTCATCGTTTGACCCAGCAACTGTGTGTTGATTATCTCCTAAATATGTGGATATTTCTAACGATTTAAAATTAACCTCTAGGTAATGTCTAAGTTGATCCATGCGAGGACCGTAAATACTAGCCATGGACGTTGATAATCTATTCGCTTCCTCTTCCATTGCTTGTCCGCGTTTCCTTACAATTTCAAGGGCATCTTCAAACTTTAAAACACCGGCGTATACAAGCGCACAGAACTCTCCAACGCTAAGACCAGCAACACAGTTGATATTTGCTAAAATGTGTGGGCTTTCTATTTTAATCTGCTCTATTTTAGCCAAACACCCTACAAACAGGGCAACTTGCACGAACGCAGTTGATTTCAACCTTTCGATCAATTCTTCATCATTTTGAAGACAAACGTCAAGAACATTATAACCAAGAATTTTCTCTGCTCTTTGGAAAACACATCTTGCTTCAGCACTACCTTTCATTGAACGACACATACCAACTTTTTGTGACCCTTGACCTGGAAACATCAGCATTTTGCTTGCCTCATTTTCTTTAAAAGAATTGGAATCTGTTTGCGAAAAACCGTCTTTTCCGCGTTCAGTAACAACATCACAGTTGAGACTTTTGCCTAATTTTTGTTCCAGATTACAGAAGATGAAATTGGCTAAACTAGCTAAACTTGGATATCCAAACGTATCAGCTATCTCCAATTGGTATCCTATGCGTTTCCGAACAAGTGTCATCATTTGAACTGCAATTAACGATTCACCACCAAGGGAATTAAAATCATCCTCAGGATTTATATCTTGTACTCCTAACAATTCGGACCAAATCTGTTTCAATTCGTTTTGCACAATCTGCTCTGTAGACAAATTGGTATCAGTTAAGTCAGCGTCATCTTCTAATTCTATTTTATTCTCAAAATCTGTATCAATATTTTCCCACCAACGGGTTCTTCGAGACTCGGATAAATTCAATGGTTTGACACAACAAACAAACAAAAATTTTTCTACTTCATTTCGGTCTTCTTCATCAAATGGACAAGATACAACAGATGCAAAACCAATATCTACAAAATAGTGGACCGTCAGAGCCTATATATGTAGAAGTAGTTCCTTTTAATTTTTTTCATATGTTTAGGAATAGAAGAGTTATTCTTCAAAATGTAGTTAGCTATAAACATATTAATCCAATTTTCCATCGGAATCCTTAATACTTATACATTATTCTATTGTATATGATAAATAAAAATGCAATTATAACGATGTTTGGCATATGCAAGACGAAATGGTATAAAAACGTCAATATATGATAACATAAATGCATAAAAAAGCGATATGTACATTTTAATTTGTTGTTTTCTTGCAATGGTTACGATTGGCTTTTTTCCCATGGCGACGGTTTCTTCATTTTTAGATATCGCAATGGCTTCTGTACTGTAAATAACACGACAAGGAGCGTTCGTATCATAGTATGTTCCATTCTGGATGTGTCTGACACATCCATTTAAATTGATGGTGTAACATTGAATTTATCTATGGATTTTTTTCAGCTTGCTGAAATCGTCTCAGCAAATATAAAGATACAACAGAATTGGCCTTGGAAAAACATTTTTTTTTACATTAACAAGAATAGTTTCCTTAAATGTGACCTACCGAATAAGACTATTTACCGGATTTGTAATAACATAAGCAACACGACGGGTGCCACATGTTGAGCAGGATCTGCTTACCCTTTTGGAGCACCTGAGATCACCCCAAGTTTTTGGTTTGCTTAGTCTTTAGTTTTCTATGTTGTGTCATCTCTACTGTTATTTTCTGTTTGTCTTTTTATTTTTGGCCATGACGTTGTCAGTTTGTTTTCGATCTATGAGGTTGACTGTCCCTCTGGTATCTTTTGTCCCTCTTTTTTCAACAACTCGTGAAGGCAAAACTATCATTAGTTTGACATTGAATAAAACCTTTTGCAATTTTGGGTCAACAATGGTCTTCAACTTCGTACTTTATTTGGGCTTTTAACTTTTCTGATTTAAGCGTCACTGATGAGTCTTTTGTAGCCAAAACGTGCGTTTGGCGTACAAAATTTCAATCCTGGTATCTATGACGAGTTTATTCATCAAGCGGTATCCAATAATAATATCGTTATTTTTTACATCAGAAAACGAGAGATGGATGCGATCGATAACCATTTCACACTTACTATGTAACCTTTTAATAATTCAAGTAGTTTCCATTCAAACCAAACAAGAAAGGTAAACTTTTTTTAAATAATGACTGTTTAAAAAAATTAAGTATTCCAATTTGAATAGGAAATCAAAAATGTGTAGACGATTGTCGAATGCATGAAATTCACGTTATTGGACTTTTCGTAATCGTATCAAAAAGAAATCAAAACAAAAATATTTGTAAGCTCACAGAGCAAACAAATTATGTTTTCAGAGCTTGCATTTCCTATCATTATTTCCTTGATATATGGTTGCTGCTTACAGGGAAGCTATTGACCCAAGACTTCCAATTGGTTGAGATGAAATCATCCTTTCGAAAATTTTGCGGACGTAATCACGAGTTGGTTGACCGTTATGGAATATCTGTTTCACAGATGAAGAAGGATATGTTCCAATTGTGGTAATCACAATCCCGTCCTGTTTTACTCGATTGTGACCTACCAAACTGGACTTTTAATCGGGTACTTGCATGAGCAGCCTGATGGCAGCCACATGTTGAGCAGGATTTAATTACCTTCTGGAGCAACTGAAATCACTCCCGGTTTTTGGTGGGGTTCGTGTTTAGCCATAGCATTGTCAGTTTGTCTTCGACTTATGAGTTTGAACGTCCCTTTGGTTTCTGTCGCCTCCCTTTTTTAATAAATCAATTGTTTGATTGCACATTTCAATCAATTATTAAAATTAACATTTAAATTCATAAAAACAATAAATAGAAGCCCAAAAAGGACAAAGTTAAAACTCATACAAATACTAAATATAGAAATAAACCTTAATATATATAAAAATGTGATTGCCAATAAGACAACTATCCACTAGAGTTTAAATGACAAACATTTAAGCAGCTGAACGTTCTTGTACGACTCTTGTACAAGTTTCTTTTTTATATAGATTCAAAAATATATTTTCGTTCGAAATCACCAAAATTGAACTATCGCCTCATTGATAAATGTCATACACCAACGTGTTATATTTCTGACAATATATTTATGAATCGTTTGTCAGAGCGTGTAAAATAGCTGATGAAAGCTTATATTATCATAATTGTACATTGTATTTTATATTTTGATTAAAGTTAACAAAACAATTATACATACTAGACAGAATGTGTTCCCATTTTTTAGGTTCCATCATAGGCTCAAACGGTCTAAGATCATAGTCTTTGAAGAACCACCATCCATCTAGTACACCCCAGGCTAGTGTTGCCCATGTTTCGTTCTTTGCACTTTCAATTATGAACAAGGTACCGTCTTCCCCCAAGCATGATTTCAAGTTCACAACAGAAGTTTTGATACTATCAGTCGTGTGAATAACATTATATGATATTACAATGTCGAAAGTTCCGATAACGCCTTGTTCTAGAGCAGATTTTGTTATATCAAACGTACAAAATTTCATAGAGTGCATATAGTTTTCAAAAGTATTCTTTGCATTTTCAACAAAGGCTTTTCCTAGGTCGGTGAACCAATATTCAATGTTTCCGATGTCTGTAAACTTTGGAAGAAGTTGTCTTGTTACATGTCCCATACCGGCACCTACTTCTAGTATTCTTATTTTCTTTCCTATTCCAGCAAGTTGGTCAGCATATGATGCTATCGACTGCATATATGTATTGTAGTATACATCTCCAAGTGGATCGCCAAGTTTATCAAATCGGAACATAAAATTTAAATCGCCCTGGGGATAGATTACTGACAATGGGCTCATGTTTCCCCATAAAACGCTACGCAAGTGTTGTGAACAATATAACGGAAATCGAAAGCAGTCTGCCCAACTCGGGTATTTTTTCATGGCATGATCAGCTACATTTGTTGGGTCAACATCAAGTATATCACTGCAGTTGAATATATATGAATCTAACTTCAGTACTGTTTCGTCCTTTCCCGTTGCTCTTATAAACCCGTTGTTTAAAAGCTCCCTTATCATTACAAAAAATAATTTCTCGTACTGCTCTAGCATGCCTGTGATTTCGAACGATTCTTTCAGAGATGTGCTTCTATCATTAAGTACATGAGTTGATAGGTTTGTACCACGAAGAAGTTTGATAATATCAGATGAACAAAACCTGCCTTGAAGGTATGTTAGGTCGTCTGTGGCCATTAGGGGTAAAGACCTTATAATTTCTTTGCTTTCTGTTACTTTTCTGTCCAAAAGATCATACAGGTTTTCGTTTTTTAGGAGTCTGTTGTTTCGATCCAGCCAATGTCGATTTTCTTCAAACAAAATCAAGGTTACCCCAAATGCTGGGCAAATATTATCTATCTCTTCTCCAAAAATATCGGAAATATCAATATGATTGTTTTGTATAAAGGATCTCAAGTAGTTTATCTCCGAATTGACAATGCATGAGCCAGGAAATGAAACGTGCATGTCGCTCCGCATTTTACAGATCTGTATCAAATCTTCCGCTTTTGATGTAGATTGAACAATAGACAATAACCGTATTGCTTGTGGTGGTTTTTTTACATTAATTGCCATACGAAATTGATCGTGACCAACATTTTCCATACACATTTCGTGAAACCTCTTTGCAATTACAAAACACATACCTTTGAGGGAATTCAAAGATGTTTTTTGCATTGTTTCTCTGATTAAGCAATTATACAGCCATGCTTGTTTTTTTATATAATTGAAAGACTTGCCACGAAAAAATATCGGGAAGCATGATTGATTCTGTTTTCCCTCGTCTTTCACATTTTTTGGATCATGGTTTGAAATTATTGCATGGCAGTTTGTCCCAGTTAAGCCAAATGCGCTAATACCAGCAATTCGTTTACCCGATTTGTTAGGATCCCAATCTTGAATTTCGGTAACAATAGATAAAGCGGATTCCTTCAGGTCTGAATTCGGAATTTTAAAATTTGCTGATGGTGGTATCTTATTGAACATAAATGTTGCCAACACCTTTACTAGTCCAAGTAATCCAGCTGTCGTGTCTAAATGTCCAAACATACTCTTGGATGTACCAATAGCTACATTCTCTTTAAAGATTGACGATAACGCCGAGATTTCTACTCTATCCCCTAGCTTTGTTCCTGTACCATGTGTTTCAATATAACCAACATCTGCGGCTTTTATTCCGGCAGCCGTGAGTGCTTTATTTATTACTTCTATCTGTGAGGTAGAAGATGGAGCTGTGATTCCGTTTCCATGGCCAACACTGTTTGATGCAATACTATTAACAATACCATAGATATGCTTTCTTTGCTTTATTGCTGAACTTAATCTTTCCACATATAAACATAAAACACCTTCACCTACGACAGTTCCGTTTGCATTTTTGTCAAACGGTCGACAGGAAAAATCTGGTGAAAGAATACCTGCATTTCCAAAGACGCCTGTCCTTCCTGGATAAATCACAAGATTAGCACCTCCTACCAATGCACCATCACATTCGTTCTTTTTAATAGATTCGCATGCATGTTTTAATGCCATTAGCGAAGATGAACAAGCTGTATCGACAAGCATACTTGGTCCTTTTAAATTCCATTGGTAAACAATACGTGTAGCAACCATTCCTGGTAAAAGACCTGATACGCAAATTGCTTCATCTGGATAATCAAGCTGTGAATATCCAATGTCAATTGTGCTGAGAAAAACACCAATATTAGCCCCATTTATATTACTGGAGTTTTCTCCTTCGAGTAAGGCCTCTGTTGCCACTTGCAGTAGCAGTCTTTGTTCTGGCGACATGAACTTTGCTTCACCAGGAGGAATATGAAAAAACTCATTATCAAATTGGTCGATTCTATCTAAAAAGGCCCCTCGATAAGTATCTGTGGTTGGCAGATATTTAGAACAGTCTTTAAAATCTGAAATCCTTTCTTGCGGAAATTGTTGCACTAGGTCCTCTCCAGTCTGAAGTACTTCCCATAACTGCGGTAAAGACATAATGCCACCAGGTAAACGGAGTCCCAATCCAGTTATTACTATATCTGCAGAATCTGTTGAACAATCTTCATTTGCCACTTTGTTTCCTGATTCCAATATGTGCTTGCTTTCTATTTGATTAGCTAAAGTCAAGATAGATGGATACGAAAATAAATCAACAATTCCTATTTTGAATTTTGTCTCTTTCTTAATGAGAGAGCAAAAACGAACTAATGTTAAAGAATGACCTCCATTCTCCATGAATGTCAAATTAACATCTATCATATTCATATCTTTTAAATCCATTGCCTGTGCGAATAAGGCTTTCAAAACATTAGCGGTCTCCGATTCTTTTCCATCATGTTTACCTGGTATCCTCTTACATTTTAAGTCATTCATGTCTGATAAAGATGGCAGACCTTTCCTGTCAATTTTGCCATTTTTCGTAGTTGGTAGTTTTTCCAAAAAATTAACTAAATCAGGAACCATGTAGTAAGGTAACTCACGGGAAAGTATTTGCTTTATCTTGTTAACGTTCATATCTTTTGAGTGATTTGGATACATCTCCACAAATGCACATAGGTACTGAGTTTTACTTGATTTGTTATCTGTTAAAACAGAAACACAGGTTTCTTTGATGTCTTTAATTTTGAGCATAATTCGTTTTTCAATTTCTAAAGTGCTAATGCGAAATCCTCTTAATTTCACAACATCGTCTGACCGACCATAAAGCTCTAGATTCCCAGACGGTAACCAGCAACAAATATCTCCGGTTTTCAATGCAAATTTCTCTTTTCCTATTGCAACAACTTCAGTATCACCAGACGCAATGACATTTCCGCTAATGTAGAGTTCACCAACAGTTCCTATAGGAGATGGAAGTAAAGTGTTTTTATCTAGGACATGAAGTGATACTCCTGGTAATGGCTTTCCAATCGGAACTGTGCCACTCCTTGTACAAGGTACTTGTTGATTGTCAAAACATGTAGAATCAATAGTAGCTTCCGTCATTCCATAACTATTAATAACACGCTGATCCGGTCTCAGGATTCGTTTTATATTTTCAAATATGTGACTGTGTGTAACATCCGACCCCAAAACTAAAATTTTTAAACTTTCGAAATCGGAAGCATTACTGCCTTCTATCAAATGAGATGCAAAATGCGGTGTCACTTCTATGAAAGTTATATTATGATATTTTATCTGATGTTGAATGTAAGAAACGTCCAATCGTCGTTCGTCTGGACAAAGGACAAGTTTTCCAGGCATGCAAATCAATGAACGCACGAGATCTCCAACAAACACATCAAATGACACTGGCGCCCATTGAAAAACATTTACCTCATATTTATCCATATTATACACAGTCTTCCAAGCATTAGAAACAACATTGAGATTGCGATGTGAAATTTTGCACAGTTTTGGTACACCTGTAGATCCTGACGTTTGAATGGCATATGCTACAATTTCTGTTTTTCTTGATGCATCCTCACTCCAGAGGAAGCGGTTGTATGTATTTTCAATCAGGGTTTCTACATTTATAACTGGACAGGTGAAGGAAGCTTCTATCATTGTTTTGTAATCTTCATCGCTGCAGTGATAAATAATGGCTCCTGGTGTAATTCGGGAACTTATATCTTTTAAAGCGTTCTGGTTTGATATTGAAACTGGAAGAAAATGTCCACCGGATTTCCAAACGCCAATTATCATTGCAATGGAATATATGTCCTTCTTTGTAAACAATAACACAGGATATGACTTCAAAATGTCCGCATTTATTTCTGTACAAATACCCTCCGCGATTTGTGACGCCATCTTATTTAGACTTTGATATGTGATAACGTCCTCATCGCAAACGACAGCTATATTATCTGGATGTTTTTCTGTGTTCATTTCAAATTGTATATGCATTTCCTTATCCGTTAACACGTGAGTGTCGTTATGAATTTCACTTTCAGAGAACGACTTAAGCAATTGCATCTCTGATGACGATAGGACGTCCATGGCATTTAGTTTTTGATCCCATGGTATATCCCTAGAACAAAGTTCAGTCAAACTGTTACTTATTCGCTCAATTATAGTGCTGTCTAACACATCGTCTGCCCATTCAAACAAAACTGATGTCTGTTTGTTCCTTTCGTCAACAATGACATCTATGCTTAAAGACATCTTTGCATGTTTAGAGTATACCCTAATCTCTTCTTTCTCAGTGTTGGTTCTGCTATAATTAAACATCAGAGAACAAAATGAACTAATGCTTTTCTTTTGAATTGTCCATAGCATTTGTGCTAATTTATCTAGTGGATATGCACGATATTTTTGTGCTAACAGTAAGACTTCTTCAACTCGTGCAATATATTCTCGCCATGTTAATGTAGGGTTAAACTTTACCCGACAGAGCAAAGTATTGACAAACAATCCATCCGTTAATTGGTGCAAGTCGTCTCGTAGTGTAGCAGGTACCGCAAACGTCATATCATCAACACCAAGATATCGTTGTAGTACAATTGATGTGCAGGCGAAAAAGTAAACGAATTCGGTTGTTCCCAACTTTTCAGTGATCTTTGAAATGCAAGTTTTAATGCTATTTGTTATATAATTGTGTAAATGGTGTGCATTGTATGGAATAGTTTCATTCCATATTGATTCTGACATTGGCAAGAGTGACAAATTTACTTCTGGTGGTAGCGTTTCAAACTGATCTTTCCAAAACGACTCGTCAGATATGCATTCATTACTTTTCAAATATTGCTCTTCCGCAGCAACATATGTCGAATACGATAATGATTTTGAACATGTATCGTCGTATTCACCGTTCAATATTTTTTTCAAATTCTGTTTTATACATCGTAAAGTTATTTCATCAGAAATAATGTGATGTACATGTAAAACTAAATAATCTGAGGTTTGTGTTTGCAAGTATCGACACTTGATTAAAGAAGAAGATATGACTTCCATTTTTTGTATTGACTCTGAAATGTATTTTGCAATGTCATTAGTCTGTTTTACAGTTTCATAGATGACTTTATGATTACGGTTGGCATCAATACACCTTTTATATTCTCCGTTGTTTTTGAACAATTGAATTTCTGTTTTTAACTCTGGGTGTAGTGTTAAGATGTTCTGAAACACGTCGTCGATATTAATGTCTTTTTTTGTTTTCATCGCAATTGTTTCTACGTAAGCCGTGGAATTCGGAGCATATTCCTGCATAATGAGCATCCGTTTCTGTGCAGTGGACAAATAACAGCTTTCTGTGTTTTGAACTTGAATGTCATGCAGTTTTGGTGCATTTAATACAATATTTTCAAATTGTTTGTATATTGAATGTTTTAGTAGATCAATGATACTAATTTCAATTTTACCTTCTCGTCTTAACTTTGATACTAAAAATACTGCAGAAAATGATGTTCCACCAGCTTGCAGAAAGTCGTCACATTCGGCTGGGGGTTGATGAGTGCATAACACTTCCATCCAACTTCGTTTAACAAGTTCTTGGAGATTTTCTGTGTCTTTCTGAAAGACTGAGGAAAACGCTGCACATATGTTTGATGTTTCAAATGGTATTATTGGAAACAAGTTGTGTTTTAAAGTATGTTCCTGTTGTAAACGTGTCCATGTGTTGGTTATCCATTTCTGAACATCGGTAACCGTCCTTCCTTGAATTGAAGATATTTTTCTATGATGTTCTTTCCTTAGGGAAGTGGGGTTATTTTTAAACGAATCATTATAGATATCATCAGTAATGACCATGACATGAAGGTTCTCAGAATAACTGTCGGAATCAGGTTGATTAAGTGTTATCTTTACATTTTGAACCTCTTCAGTGACGTTTTCAATACCAAAACCCAAGAGAAAATCCAAAATAGGAATATTTCGACCTGTGCTTTGCAATGCAATCGTAATGGTGATGTTCTTATCAGTTTGTTTTCCCAGTTCATCGATTATCCTGTGCTCAACAAAGCGTCCAAGAGCTCTGCAACTGACAACCCACTGTTTTAGAATGGTATCATCTTCTGATATTTTGCCAATAATGCAAATGCTTACTGCACCGTATGATCCAAAATTATCGGTCAGCGAAATCACCCAGATTTGAGTTTCATCACTTTCGTCGTCTATACATATATTCGTGTTATTCAACTTAAATTGATTAGAACGGAAAAGTAACTCATTACATCTGGAATAAAGTGTTGCATTTTCTAACAGACTTTTCTTTGTTGTTTTCATAATACACATTCTCATTTTCCAAGAGAGAAGAAGATCAGTCAACATCTCACTGCTTGATGTCGACTTTATGTCTACTTTTGAAATGGCGTTTTGTCTCTTGAATTCTTGTTTGTACATATCTGTTCTATCTGTTGTATCGAATGTATTGTCATAAGTATCCAAAAACCAGAAGTTTTTTAGGTAGGCAGCAACAATCTTTTCGTCATTTGGGAACTTAAGTGTGAGTACTTCCGGACAAGACAATATCATTTCCTCGCATTCAAGACTGTTGTCATCTATGAAAATAAAGGAATCAAGTCCCAGATTCAACAAGGTGGCAAGATGCCTGATATTTTGTACTTTTGAATTCCAATTTGCTTGAATTGATACAAAATCTTCCATTCTAAGAGACCAATCCAAATCAAGGTTTTGAAAAGCTCGTTCGATGTCTTTGTGATAATTTTTACTAATTACAGCCAAAACAATTCCATATTTCTTTTGTTCAAGTAAGAACTGCTGTAAACAGACATTTCCTGTGTTCAAATGAACACTTTCCTGGGCACACTCACCATGCCATAATGTATAATCTGCATCAACAACAATAACCTTATGTTTTCGTTTGAAGATCAGGCCATGAATAGCTCTAGCAATAAGAAGCGCAAAGTGTCTGTATCCTTCCTGAGTGAATGGCATACCATATCTTATATCTGATTCGCTGTCATAAAATGTGGTTGTAAATTCCTCTGGCAGAATGATCTCTTTGGTACTCTGTGACAACTGGTTTGAAGTTTTGCTTTTGTTTAAGACGTTGGCTATGTTTAGAACAATAATTTTGTGAACAGCATTTAAATCCTGGCATAGGAGGCTTAATTGATCACGCTCAATTTCATTTTTATGACGTGGGATTATGACTAATATTGTGGATGGAGCACTTTTGTATCTTAAAAGCGACTGCATGAAGTGTTCTTGTTGTTTAATAATTAAATCATCGAGACGTAAGTTGTAATATTTCAAAGCTTCTAAAATTAAATGGTTGCAGGTTGGATCTATATTGATTGCTGCTATTATTTCCACTTTACCACCTTTAACAGCTTTGTCATTTATGTATGGTTCTGTTACTTGAACACGTCTATCATTTGTTTCAGTAAGTATGGCATCATTCATTGTCTTTAATTCGTCCTGTATATGTTGCATAAGGCTTTCAACAAGAGATACGCTTAATACAGCTGTATCAAAAAGGAATCCAACGGTCAAATGTCCTCCGTGCATCCATGATATAATTTCTAAATCAAATTCCATAATTTCATCTAGCTGCCGGTGAAATCGTCCACCAAGAAGATGTGTTTTCATAACCTCAAGCCAAGGAGTGTGCTCGAACTTATACTTTCCTCCATCAAAGATTTGCTTGGTTGAAGCATCCAGTGACCCTTGATACACAAACATAATGTTTGGATACGATAAAGATATTAGTCCTCTTGACTTCAGCATGTCAAATCCTATCCCTCTATTTGGAATATTATTCATATAGCCCGAAATATTTCTCATTTGTGTATAAATGTGTTCCTTTAATGGTGTGTCCAAAACTATTGGATATTTGCTTGTGCACCAACCGACAGTATCTGTAGAATCAACATCTTTAAGATTTCTTTCATGACTTTCCATACAAAGAGATGATCTATCTTTTCCATGCAATTTACACATACTCCTTCCAATTGCTGTTAATAATATGTTTTGTTCGGAGCATCCACTTGAAATTGCTAAAGATCTGACATCTTTTGATTCAACCAAAAACTCTATCCATTTTGCAGTTATAAAGCTGTTTGGCTTGTTGTTCTGTTTCAGCTGACCAGTTAGCTGACATCTAACTCCAATATCTTCCCAATACATCAACTCTGATTCTGGAATTTCGGTACTTTGATCATGAAAAGCGGTGCAAAACTTTTCAAAAGGTAAAACACATCTTTCTAGAGTTGGCAGGATAATTGTGTTATTACTTAGACGTTTAAAGGCTTCTGCTAAATCTTCTAATACTTGCTGCCATGACACTATATCTATAGCAATGTGATGTATTACCAGAAGACAAAAGTGTTCTGTTTTTCCTGTTGGTTTTGTTATGTCAATTATGCCTGCATTTAACAGAATACCATCCTCTAGAGAATGACTTTTCTCTAATCTTTCAGAAAGTTCAATGAAGGTAGGTTCATCCCACATACTGGTATCATCATGGTTCATTTCAATTTTTTCGATTCTCGGTTGATCTTCTTTCAGTGGAAGAATTTCTTGAAAAGTAACATCATTATTTGTAAAGAATCTAGAACGTAGTGATCCATGTTTCATCATGATACATCTAATAGCTATCCGTAAAATGTGAATGTCTATTGGATTATCAAATCGCAATAAAGCTGGCATTGAAAACAAATCATGGTTCATACGATATCCCGATATATAACTATGGATTATAGGTGTAGGCTTGAAAATCCTATGGTCTTCACAATAAATTTCAGCGTCTTGTGAAGAGGTAGTTTTTCTTTCAGGACAAGCTATCAATAGTCGAATAGTTGGATTTTTAAATATATCTGTTACAGAAATGTTGAACCCAGCCTTTCGCATTTTTCTAACTACATGAATAGCCTGAAGAGAATCTCCAGATAAGTCGAAAAAAAAATTGTCATTCACAGTTGGTAGATGATTAATTGGAAGCACACTATGCCAAATTTCCTTCATCTGTCTTTCTATCTCAGATTCACGGGGATTAGTTTCATTGATATCCTGTCTCTCGATGTTTGACTGTAGCTCATCAATACACAACCTCTGAATTAAAAGAGTATTTATTTTCCCGTTTGCATTCAGTGGGGCTTCGCTAACTTGGATAAAGACATTTGGAATAGCATGAATCGGAATACTACTCCTTAATGATGATTTAGCTTTGCTAACCCATGATCTATGAGATTCATGTCGACGTTGCTTGTACAAAATTGCTGCTCCAAGGTAATGTTGACGTTTGTATGAAAATGAACATACCCACGCTTTTTTAACAAGAGGCTCATTTTCTATAAAATGTTGCACTTCTAGTAAATCGACCCTGAACCCTTTGATTTTTAAGGTCCTGTTGTTTCTCCGACCGAAATACGCTAAATCTCCAGATATTGGCAGACATTCAACGATGTCATCTGTAAGTAACATTATTTCCCCAGGTCTTCCGAAATCAGCCGATACAAATGATTCTTTAACCTGTGTATGTTTGAGTATACCAATGCCTGTAAAGTCTATACAGAGACATTTACCTCCGATTGCAAGAGCACCTTTACCTCCTATTGGCACTTGAAGCTCGTCTTTTCTCACAACAATAGCAATCACATTTTGTATTGGTTTTCCTATAACTACAAAATTGGACTTGTTAACAGGAATATCAGAGCTTTTGAAACATTTAAAAATGCATCCAACTGTTGCTTCTGTTGGTCCATATTCATTCCACACCTCAAATTCTTTGCCACTCATGTTACATTTTAAATCCGAAAGAAGTTTTGCAGAAACTTCTTCTCCTCCTAAAATGAAAACCGATATGCTGATTGATTTTCTAGCAGTAGACAGAATTGTCTCTAACTGTAGTGGCGAAAATTTTGCAATTGTAAGTTCTTCTGACAAAGCAATTG